ATATATATAGGCTGTAGTATTATAACAAATACCAGAAACAGACATTTTGGTTAGTATTGGCTGAACAGTATCGATCAGAGCACAATGAACAGCCAAGCACAAACTTTATGCAACACAACGTAACACACCGCTCACACCCAGACCCAACAACGTCAGTAAAACTACAATAAGAGACATGAACACAGATGCCGCTCCTACAGCACACGACAGAACAACCAGAGCAGCTCCATCACACCCACCAGCTCATTTACGAACTATTAACTATTAACACTATAAAACTATTTACCTGTGAGGCTCCAAGTTCAGATTTGCCGCAAACTAATGAAAACCAGCCTCTTACCTTCTCCAGAGGCTGAAGCAGAATGTTTCCTCTATCCACTGTCCCACTGGTTCTGTTTCCAAAAGTCTATTGTCCAATATGAAGAGATGAAACTGGTCCAAATCCTGGTCCAGTCTGGTCCGTGACGCGAGGTCCGGGAGCACAAGATGGTTGTAAAATTAGTCTTAATCCCACTTCCCACTTGAATCTGAAAGTTAAAGTTGAAGTTGAAAGTCAGTCCATATCAGCACCAGGACACCAGGTAGCATTATGCCTCTGCGCGCTATGCTCAGGTCAAATTTTACACCCAGAAACGAGCGGGCAAAGGCGGATAGAGCAGCGAGCGACTGCCCTGGCCCCGGCGGCGGCAGCGAGAGTCCCAGCGGCGACAGTCCTGGGTCCCGGCGGCGGGTCTGTCAGGTCGGGTCTTTGACTCTGTTCTCGCCATTTCCTGTGTGGAGCTTTAGGCTAAAGTTGCAGCTGCCGCTAATCGTGGAGCTGCTACGAGTTGACGCAACAGGTTGACGTGACGTGACGTGAGTGACAGGACAGTTGTCCAATCACACTACACTAAATAAACAGAGACTGTGATGTCATTGATGTCACAGTAAAGTTTGTGCCTGAAGTGAAATGCGCCAATCAAAATCATTTTAAAATGGTAATAATAACGGCCTGTTGGGGGGTCGGGCACCAGTGGCCGCTAGGGGGGGCACGGCCCTCAAATGATCCCCCTTGCCGCCGACACAGTTACAGAAGCATCGTTTTGTGTAAGTCACCTTTTGGATCAACATAAGAAACCATTCACGGACGGCGCACTGTTTAAAGAAGCCATGCTCATCACAGCAGAGACTCTTTTTGGTGAGTTTAAAAACAAAGATGACATTCGGAGCGCATTGCGCTCTGTACCACTCGGGGCCACAACGGTGACAAGGAGGATAGAGTCACTGTCACAAGACGTGAACCAACAAGTGCTAAAAGACTTGTCACTTTGTGAATATTTTTCACTTCAATTGGACGAATCTGTGGATATTGTGGACACCGCGCAGCTTGTAGTGTTTGTGAGAATGGCTTTTTCCGATACATTAACAAGAGAAGACTTCCTTACCTTGCTCCATTTAAAAGAGAGGACGAGAGGAAAGGACATTTACGCGGAGTTTAAACAGTACGTGTCTGACAACAACATCCCCATTCATAAACTTGTGGCAATTACAACTGATGGGGCTCCCGCTATGTGCGCCGTGCACAGTGGTTTTATCGCACTGTGCCGCAATGATCCCGATTTCCCGGACTTTGTGAACTATCACTGTGTGATCCATCAGCAGGCCCTGACTGGGAAAGCCGTGGACTTTTCACATGTAATGTCGCTAGTGGTTAAAGTTGTAAACTCTGTTCGGGCAAAAGCGCTCCAGCACCGCCTATTTAAGAGTTTACTGGAGGAGCTTGACTCCGCCTACGGGGACCTAGTTCTACACGCAAATGTCCGCTGGTTGAGTCGGCGCAAAGTATTACTGCGGTTTGTGGATTTACTACCTCAGATAAAGACGTTCTTGTCTACAAGAAACGGGGAGTACAAGCAACTGTCGGAGGATGAGTGGCTACTGGACCTGGGATTTTTGACAGACCTGACCGCAAAACTAAATGCTCTGAATCTGGAGCTCCAAGGAAAAGACAGACAACTGCCTCACATGATCAGCTCGGTGAACGCTTTTAAAGCCAAGCTGGATATGTGGGCAACACACCTGCAGAATGGGTGGCTGACGCACTTTCCCAACCTGGAGAACATGTCACAGGGCATTAAAAACAGAGACGCGTTTCACCCGGAGCAGTACTGCCGCCACCTGGAGAAACTAGGTACTGAGTTCAAGGATCGCCGTTTTGGTGAGTTGACTGCTATGGAAGACATCGCTGCGTTTTTGTCAAACCCATTTATGGTCATTGATGTTGAGCAAGTTGCAGCTAAATTTCAGAATGCATTTTCTTTGCCAAATGGAGTTGACATGGAAATTATTGATTTGCAAAATGACATTGAACTTAAAGCACGATCGAGGGACAGTGACTTTTAGAGGCTTGTGAGCAGTGAAAGGTTTTCCTCTTCTTGCTAAATGTGCATTGAAAGTGAGTGTTTACTTTGGTTCAACTTACCTGTGTGAGGTGGCCTTTTCATATCATATATATATATATAAAATCATCAAATCTAAGTACAGAAACAGTCTGACTGATAGGCACCTCACAGATTGTCTCAGATTATCTGTCTGCAACTATAACCCAAACTTCAAAGCATTATCAGAGGAAATTCAGTCTCAGCCATCACACTGAGTTTGATAATAATAGAACTCCTCTAATTAACGATTTTGATACACTGTTAATGCTGTTTTGTGGTCAAATTTGCACTATTTTGGTTGTTTCCTCTGCATGTGGTTTGTATTTTGTTTGTACTTCAATTCATTCATCATTTTTTCTTGCAGTGAGTGTTTTAATCTCCAGAAAACAGTTAAATTACCATTATGTTATGAGTGTTCCTTCAGTTAATATTACAAGATTGCAAAAATAAAGCAGTCTGGAACTATGAACATGGTCATTTTTGTTGTTGTTATTTGCGTTCATGTTGGTAGATCTTGCTCTTTTCTCGGACCAAGCAAGATCTTTGGCTGAAAAAGGTTGGTGATCACTGTTCTAAACAATTGGTATTAGCATTGGCCATGAAGAAACCCATATCAGTTGGTCTTTCTTCATAATCTGTTCAAACATTTTGGTGAGAAGTTACAAAAGTGAATCACTAGTGTTTGATCTGGGGACATCTGTTTGTGGGATACACAATGACGTACCATGTATTCCATGTACAGCAGCACAGCCAAAGCTTTTATTGTGTGTCAAAAGCAAACACAAGACATTCAAATCATAATGACTGTTTGGCACTGTGTAAATATTAGACTGTTTGTGCTCTAAGCGCCTGCCTTCATCCCAACTGTGTTAAGCAGAGCAAGGAAAAGGTTACTGGTTCAATTTGAATGTGTGATTTGTTTTTTCACCACACATTTTGCATTGGGAAACAATTTTGAGAAACTTGAATACGAGATTCTCGCTTCTTGTCATTTTTTAGTCTTTTCTTCATCATATTTCCAAAGGGAGGGTGTCACATTCTTTTCTGAGAAGACAATTTGCACCACCGACGATACATGAGTGTAAAAATTATGTCATCTAACTTTAGCAACAGGGGAAAATACAAAATGGCTTTTTTCATCCACTAAATAAATAAAGTTCACTGGTGTTAACTTTATAATGCAAATGTTAGCTGAATATTCTGTATAAATGTGCTAAATTCTTTTTTTTTTTTTTTTTATCTCTACCCATCATGTTAAAAGTATTCCTCGCCATCTATTACTTTTTCAAAATCTGAAATTTGGTCAGTGTTGGGAAATGAAAAAAATCACACTTCATAATTTGTTTGAGAAGTGAATATATTGTCAAAATGCAGTAGGCGCTGTGCTTAAAGTTTGCAAATTGAGTTAGTTCACAGACTTAAGCAGCTTATGAGTGGTGGGGATTTTTACACTGAACTGAAAGCAGCTACAAAATGCTGCAATTTATATGCAAATCACAGCAGACAGTAACAAAGAGACGATTCGAATCTCACTCCTGAAATCATAAGTATAACAACAAGTATGTGTCTGAAAGTGGCCATCTATAGATTTCTAGTATTGTTGTATCCCATGAACTATTCAGAGAGCAATACAAACGCATAGAATTCTCCAAAGTGTTTTCGTGTCCCCTCTCCGCTTTGGTTTTTATCTTTCTCTACTGCTGCGCCTTTTGCCGTATATATAGACTGATTCTAAATGTGATAGATCTGTTTGACACAGGAGAACATTCTGACGATATGGAGATTGGAATTGTATGCACGTCCTTGTCATGGGGAAGTAATGCCGTTCTGTAAATCCAGGGACATTTCTGGGGACAAAGCCAGAGCAGGATGAAACTGAAATTATAGAGCATGTTCCTGGAAAACTAGGGCATCCGGTTTCTTCAGCTAAAAACTGCCTGGCGTTAACACCGGACATACGTCTTATCAAATGCGTTAAGAGCACCCAGGCACTGTTCCAATCAGCTCTGTGATTAAATTACAGCCATACAGGATACTTCATTAGGCATCATTGAATCTCTTAATTTATTCTTTTGCGCAAGGAGGGGGAGTATCAAAATCTGTTAAGTAAAAGTGACAAAAATGTGTAGACAATGCCAGTGTACGGACTAATCCATTCACAAAGAACAAAGGATGTTGTGTCAAGAAATGGCAAAATAAATGTAAAGGTACACTGTGTAACATTTGTAGTGGAAATGGAAATTATTATATATGTTATTGCTTTGTCTTTGTCTGGAATGTTCATGACAGAGACAAACAGGTTATAGCACCACTCTGAATTGCAGTTCAGATCTGCCGAGAGTTGCCCCTATTCACAGAAGGAATTATTGTATTTTAAGCAACAGAAACCTGAAATGCTAGATGGAAATATTTATACCAAGCCAAACTATGGAACATTCCAGGCAATGCAACGGCATCTCCATGGAGACAAGCAGGTGGTGGGCACCCATAGCACCTTTAAAAATACATTCAACTACTGTATACCATTACATACTAATACTCATTTCCATGTTCTCTCTGTATCTCCCTGTGTCTCTGCAGGTGAGGAGGCTCTCACCATGTATCTGGCCAAGAATAAGCTGGACAGGAAGCTTGCCAATGCTACACAGAACGTGGAGGCCCTCCATCAGCTGGCCTCATCTTACTTCATCGACCGGGATGGCACCATGAGGAAGCTGCACGAGATCCAGATTTCGACTGATGCCATTAAGGTGAGTGAGTCATAATGACAAAAATATTCAGTTATTCTAATTCAGTATGCTTTTACAGAAATAAGTAGCTAAGGTACGGCACTGCAAAATATTGAAAAGGAAATAACATGCTACTTGGAATAAATGCTTTTTGCAGTCATGTTTCCATACGAAAATAATTACCATGTTTCTTGGTAATTTACAGTCTTCATACTGGGTTAGTTTTGTGGCTCACATTAGGATAAAGTAAAGTGTAAAAGCTTGACATAAGTGATCCCTGACTTCATGTGTTATTAACTTATAATAACTACAGCAGTTTTAGTCAGTTAATTCTGTGCTATTACCATATCAGGCTATATTTTGCTTAAATTGTGGTTCGTATATACTTCATTATTATTATCTATACCATTAATATTGTATTAGCATCTGGAAGTATTACTATTGGGATTACAAATTCCACATTAGCAGGGTATACATAACATTAGTTCAGTGCAAGAATCTCTCATCCAGGAGTGGTTCAAGGTCTATACATTTCTTCAGAACATTCCGGTAAAGTAACAATACCCATGCCTGGGAATGGATACACTCACTAAGACTTGTGGGACATAGCCGAGGTCTGCTGTACTTTTGGTGTGTGTTACAATATGTTTAACAAGTTGCTGAACAACTTGTTAAAAACAGAAAGTGAAAGATAAATCTAGGAGACACTAAGGCAAACAAACAGTGGGGATGATGCCATTATGTCCAAGCTGTTTCTAATTTGTCTTGCTTACTGTTGCATGGTGCACATTTACAACACCCACCACTGCCCGGGAATATTACACATACAAACTGCCATCAATAATGAAGATTAAACCAAAGATTAATAGTGTTCTATGCAGTGGTAAAAGGTGACCATTTATGTAGTCTGTATAATTGTTTTGGGAGAGAATGCTGTGAAGCTGCATTTCTACCTGTGGCACTTTAACCTTTTCACATAAGAGTTGACTGCTGTTCATTTCAAGGCCCAGTAATCTAAATAATTAGATTCTTTGATTAGGCCTGTCCTGCAATCCTTCAGTTCTATACCGAAAGCAGATTGCAGATATAAAAATAGGTTGCCATGGAGACAGTAAATGTCAAATGATAGAATTGTGAAGAAATAAATTAACTTCTAATTCAAATAATTCTCAAAACTGACTATACTAATTAATTAGATCTGGAATAGATTTTCAACACTCCTCTCAGACAAACTGTCTCCCTAGAGTTGCTGCTTTTTGTAAAGCAGAGCAGCAGGTGAGCAATCTCTCAAAGCTTGCGTTTATGACTTAAAAAAAAAAAAAAAGAAACGAATGAAGAATTTTACCATTTCTTTTCTTGGCTACACCAACATTCTCAGAGTAAATCAGCTAAGGGCAGAGAACTGTGTACAGCAGGCAATGCAAAAACAACTTTGATAGCATTTCCAGTGGCTTGTTTTCGGTGTTTTTTGGCTGACCAGTAAGTAATGTTTTGGGACTTTTCCCTGACTTTTTCTCAGTTTGATTACTCCTAGCTCCTCTCCGAAGTTCGTAGGTGCTGACATGCACTGTTACCTCTGCATGTGCCCACAATCACCAGCACCCACTCTCCGCTGCTCCCACAATACTGCACTGCCCTGTCTCCATTCACCCGCACCTTCCCCAGCTTTTTGTTGTCCTGACTGACAAGTGGATTAAAGGCTCCTGGCAGATGAGACTCTAGGTAGCAGGAAGTCAAGCATGACAAAATTAAGCAGAGCTGACAGAGGCTGCTGACTCAGTTCTTTCCAAGACAAGATGGTAGGGTGGGGGGTGAAGGGCTTGTGGGGAGAGGCCATATAGTGCAAAGATATGCATGCACGCACACACACATATTCACACGCACACACACACTCACACCCACACACGCACACACACACTTACACGCACACATACTACAGATGCATGATAAAGACACCTGGACCTGATACATATGCAAAGGTGCAGCTCATTTTCAGTTAGGCTAAAGTTAAACCAATGGGGATTACACTGTAAAATGCTAAATAATAAACTTAGTATCCATTCAAAAGTATTCTGACATTATAGATGGATAAATGTATTTACCAGTAGCATTTCTGGTGAGCTTTGTGAGTGCAAACATGACTTAACGCCTCACAGTTAGAAATGGTATTTATATGTTTCATTTCTGAAGGCATTTGCTACAAAATAAATGAATTAATTGTCTATAACATAGTGTCTTCAGACTGAGGTGTTGATTGTCAAAGCAATTACATTTGCTTGACTAGTCAAGAATACATGATTCTTTATGCTACTTCACAGTGACCTCTAGTCTGGACTCTGGTAGTTTAGATAAGCGTGATTGACAGGTGTATTAGCCAATCAAGAACACTTATGGTCTGACCACATCAAAACAAAACAAACAAATAAACAAAAAAAACATCACAGATTTCTGCAGAATCAATAAGTGATGTACAAGACATGATTATTAATCAAAAGTGAGTGAAGTGTGATTGAAGTATAGGTGACCAATGAGCTTGTGAGTTTGGCCTGAAACACAAAAGAGCTACAGAAGGAACCTAGATTGCTGGCTACTGTTGCACAATTGCTTTTGTGCTTGTGTGTGCACGTGTATGTGTGTGTGTGTATGTGTGTGTGTGTGTGTGTATGTGTGTGTGTGTGTGTGTGTGTGTGCGTTATCATATGATTGACTTAAGAATTTTTGTATTCTGCTCTATGTGTGAGTCCAATGAACCTTTTAAAAGAGCAGTAGCTGAGATAGTAAATTTGAATTAAAGGACACACACAGGTGAAATTACAGTCACGTCCCAAGCAGACAGCGATCAGAATGTGAGCGAAGGCAAAGTCCACAACAAAGAGCTGCTCTGTAAACTGGCAGAACAAGTGTTCTGCGTTTCATATTGATTCGCTGTGGCTGCCTGACCCGTTCTGTAGAGCAAACTCTGGAATGGAAATTGCATGGAAGCACAGATAAATGGTTTCACACTTTTACCATTTGAAGCTTTTCCTTAGGAGAAAAAAGAAGAATCAGGTACTTTTTTTAAAAATATACTTTAATAGTAATGTCAGTTGTGCTTATAGAAGAAGTGAAGTTATAATAATCATACATTTTATTTGTTAGGCCCTTTTCTTGACACTCAAGGAAGTCTTACAACTATAAATAACTACAAAAGCATAAACAAAGTTCAATACAATTTAAACCAAACCAAAACAAAAACACAGTTAAAAGCATACAGTTGAAGCGGGACAATGAGTAGAAGTAGAAGGGGTAAATGCAAATAAAAGAAGGATCCAAAGGTGGAAGTAGTTTGGAGATGTTGTAGTAATAACTCTAGTACTGTTGTTTTTTGTTTTGTACTTTCACCAGAATGTAATCAAGAACACTTGTTGAGTACAATCTTCAATTAATTGTGTTGTAAAATGATGTAAAATGAGAGCAATAGAGCTTTTCCCCCTCCAGGACAGTCACTGCACAAGGAAACATGCTTGATTGCTAACACACTAATTCAGTCACTGTATCAAGTCATTACCAGCATAAAACAATTTCATGTTTTTTGGGGTTTTTTTGACAACATTTTTACAATTTGATTTTTACAACAAAGTGCATTTTAACCAGTGGTTTTGTGGGTTTGGTCACAATTTTGAAAATTGTGTTCAGTATTTGTGGAAAAGGGTCTTGTGCTTCAGAAAATCTATCTTAGCAATTTTCTTAAAAAAGCTATATAGTATATTTTTGACATCTAAATTTGCACAAGTGCTGGACTCTAGTTTCAACGTGGCCTTCATAGGCCAGATGTCAATGACAAGCTGCTGCTGTTGCCTTCTTACATCATATCTAGTGGTTCACAGCCAACTTCCATTTGGCCCGTCGCCTCAGATCATAGGAGTGTTTGCAGTGATGGATCGCAGCAATCGCACAACTGCAACAGAATATACCAAATGTGCCATTTTTTCTTTCTGACAGCAACCATGTGTTCTATCAAGCTGCTGCCTTGAACATCCAGTGAATTATGTATGTGTGCAAATGATACACTGTACTTGGTGTACCCACTGCCAGCTCAGACATATTGTAGTTTGTTCTCGCGAGCTATTTAGCACTATAAACAACATGTAACAAACCAAATGTAAAACAGCATCTACACATCAAACATAACATGCGCAAAGACCTTTTTTATTATCATATTCACAACAATATGTGATGAAATGTGCTGTTATCAGACTACTAATGAGGCAGAGGAACAGTGTGTGCACGCAGGGACAGTCAGCAGGACACAGAACAATCAATCTCTGCCGACTCCAGACATCTGCGCAGCCACTAATGCAACGCTCTCTCATTAAAACACTTTTATTTCTGTCACTGAGAAATGCAAACAATTATTTGATTGTTATTGGCCTCCCACAGGTTGTACACGCTGTGCAAGTCGAAATCATCAGAATATTGAAAGGCCATTACAGAGTGCTCTTTGAAGTTATGTAAAGCGTGTCCCTGAGGAGCACTGCATTTATTAGAATGAGAAATGAATTGTGTATTGACAGGGCTGATGTAGAAAAGTGTTCAGGTGTATGCACAGGATAGTTGTATTTGTCTGGGCTCTCATCCTTAAGCTAGCTGTCTCTTTGGACTTGGTATTGCTTAAAGGTCCATAAAGAGGGATGTAGTTATCGAAAGAAAAAGAGAACAATGTGTCTGAAATCATCAATTCAAATGTTTTAAAGAGGTGCATAATGGAATGTAATTCAATGGCATTATAAAACCATGTCTCAAAGAGTGTATTGAACAGCAAATGACACCACAACTTTCAGGATGTGAGCTGTACTGTACTGAGACTGTTAGACCTGATTTACACTAAACTCTGGTCAGGTGCAGTTCTGGACCTGTTCAGTCAAAGGCATTCAAATCAATGAATGCTGTCACACTGGCACCAGAGCATTGTCGGGCTGCAGAAACAAGCAGAAAGATATTTTGTTTTGTTTTTATTATGTATTTATTTGTTTATTTATTTT